TCAGCTGAGTACAAAACATAGAGAGGAAAACAAGAAGAAAAGGGACAAGAAGAGAGGGACACAACCTAGAACAGATAATGGATGTCTATTCTATTAACATTTCTCTATCTGTAGAACGGGGCTGTTTTATGTGTTGACTTCTCCATTCAGAGGCCTCTGCCTGTCTTTGCCTAGGGCCCCAAATTTCCTAAATCCGCCCCTGGCTGTAAATAGTTCATATTCCTGATAATATTATTAAAAACAAAATTAAAGCTGATAATGGAGAATTAATGTCAGATTTGATTTCAAATGAATTTAAATATAAAAAAGTCCTATATAGTTTAATGTTAATCACATCAGACAGCATGAATTTGATTCTTTCAACAAAAGTCGCGACTGAATAAGACTTCTACAGATCTTTGATGATGAAGTATATTATCATCGTCATTATTTTCAACATTAAGGTTGTTCAATATGCTGTTTGGAGCCATAAACCTGTTGTGGTTTGGATTAAATTAAATAAACAGTGAAAACAGTGAAATCTTAATCCTTGCATCTGCAAGGCAGCGGACTCATATTGTTTTTGTCAAGGTGCGATCACATCGAACGCGTTTCGTTTCCAGCGACCAGAGTGACCGACTTACATAGTGCAGAGGGATGAAATGCAAAATATAAAAAAATGAGATTGTTTTATTGATTTTATTATTAAATGTATTCACTCATTTCATCTCAGCACTTTTCGTAACATAGTGGCTCAGAGACTCATCAGTGTGAAGAATCTAATAATAGGTTTAACACTACAGCATTCAGCTGGCCTGATGCCGACCACATACCATCAATGCTGATACGATTAAGCCAAAATCAAGCTCCACCGTCACTTTTAGGGCTGCAACTAACAACTGCTCTGCAAATCGATTAATCTGTTGATTATTATTTTTGTTGATTAATCGATTAATAATCAGATAGCCAAGATTTTTTATGAAATTAAACCAAGTGAAACTGAAACTTTTCTGGATAGATTAGACTGACAGACGAAAACGTCTTTTTTCTTCAGTGCAAAATATTTATATATATTTTTACAATTTTGGTCTAATTGCTTCTAATTGAGTCGCCCCCACCCAGATATAATAAATCTATACACATATTTTGTTTTCAAACTCCACTGAAGTCGAAGTTTATTTCACACTTCAGGTTGCAACAAAACAAACTACACCATCTTTACAGTGGAACACTTTTGTGTAACTGTATTTTT